GGGGCCCTCTGGCGTCCCAAGCCAGTTCTTAACCATCGCGCCACTCGGCCGGCCTCTGAGTATCCCTCTTGATGCCTCTCCCCACTCCCCACAAATTACCCATCAAGCACTAAGTTCTGGTGGTTGTCAAAGCAGCCTAGAGGGTGGTTAAGTGCCCGGATCCTAGAGCCAAAAGGCCTGGGTTCAAACCCTGACTCTGCCACTTTCTAGCAGTGTAAGTTTGGGCAAGTGACTTAACCTCTCTGTGCTTCAGTTTTTTCATCTATAAAGTGGGGGTAATAATAGCACCTATACCACATAGGATTGTAATGAGGTTTCAATGAGTTACTATTCATATAGATGGATATAGTTCATACTGCAAAGCATTTGTTGACTAAAATAAATTCTATCTTCTAAGTATCTCTTGAACTGGTCCCAAGACACCATCATCTCTCCATCGTCTTCCTGCCCTGGCCTAATGGATGTCCCTGCATCCATCTTTGCCCTCCTCCAATTCCTCTACATACCATCCCCAGAGTCACCTTTTCAAAATGCAAATATGATGCAAATACTTACCACTCTTCAATGGCTTCCTACTGAACAGCCCACACTCCTTAACAAAGCTGACAACACCTGGTTGATCTAGTCCTATTCGCCTGTCCGGCCTCATTTTCACCACTGAATGCTCTGACCTCACACATTTCCAAAGGTAGGCTCGGGAGTTACTTCCTTATAATCTGTAAGAGCCAGAGCAATCAAAACTGTCCTTTCATTCTCAGGAAGTGGAAACTGCACCCAAAAGAGCCCCGTTTGTCCCAGGCTGCATCCTTGGCTCCCTGAGCACCTGACATGCCCATCTGTTTCCTAATTCCTTCATTCAGAAAATATTTATGTCTTTATTTGTAAATAAATGTGTAAGTAAAGGGCAGTGTGGAGGACCCAGAGATAAACCATACCCAGCCTGGCTTGTTTGAGGCCAGACCCTCTTCTTAGCACTTTACCTGAATTAACTTATTTCCTGTGAGGTGAGTACTATTATTAGCCCCTTATTACCAGCCAGGAAACAAAGCACAGCAAAGTTAATTATCTATCCAAAGACTTACAGCTAGTAAATCAAAGAGTCAGCTTGGTTCCAGAGTCTTGATTAAGGCAAATGAAGTTGAGTGTTATAAAGAGCTTGACAGACTTCAGAGGCAGGAACAATCACATTTAATTAGTGGGAGTTTAACACAAATTTATAATTTTAAAAGTCTCATAGTTTACAGTGTGATTTTACATGTTATCTCCTTTTACTAGATGAGGCAATATAGAGTCATAAACGTCACAAGGTCTAGAATCAGATAATCCCAATATTTGTTTCCCAACCCTGTCACATACAGAGTAGGTGTTTTTAGGTCCTCTTTTGTGCTTTAACGTTCTTATTTGTAAAAGGGGTATAATAAAATATGCCATTGTGAGGATTAAATGAGATAATAATGCCTTTAGCACAGTGCCTGGCATATAATATGTGCTCAAAAAAAGTTAAATAATATACAGTAATAAGATGCTGGCCTATTTTATGGGCAGAGATGATGTGCCAAACATGTTCTGGGCCTGTTAAGCCTCACAACAGCTCTGTGAAGGTTTTGTCCCCCTTGTACAGTTAGCAGATGACTAGGTGCCAGATGTTGTTCTAAAACGCACTGCTACCTCAACCCTCACAACCATCCCCAGGGGTAGATGCTACATATTCTAATCCCCACTGCACAGGTTAAGAAACTAAGCATAAGTTAACTTGATCAAGTTCACAGACAGCAAGAGGGGCAAACGGGCTATTTG